ACTTTGTCACACTGTCAGCAAAGCGATTCTGACAGGTCCTGCGCGGTTCTTCTCTGGCCTTTGCCTTCCAGGAAATGGTCCAAGATGCACGTCCAGCATTGCGACTCAGATGACAATACGTCTGAGTCCTGACACAACTCCCCTCCCCGTTCCGACGAATAGCAACTGCGAAGCAGATTGGATGTTGCTGATTACTTCATTCATACATTACAAGGCCTGCTTCACGACAGTGGCACTCTTATACTTGAAGGTTTCTGGCAATTCCCGCCGGCTAATTCTCAATCACACCATCTCGGCCCACGGAATACACACACACACACACACACACACACACACACACACACACACATGCATGCATGCTTTCATACTGTGCAAGTGGGCCGCAGCTGGCACTCAACCACAACCAACATGGTGAGCCTTATGCCTGAGAGGCACGGTAAAGGGGGAGCTGCAAGAACAAATGAAAGGGGTACCCCAAAGAAAGCAAACGTGAACACAATTAACAAAGGGGTTTACGTGCCTCTACTGTACTTCATGTTGCTTGCTATAGACTCAAGGGCTTTCGTTGTCTGTAATAGGATCGAATATGCGTTGATTTTGGATCTGCTCATCTGGGTGGAATAGGGGCTGTTGTGGTGAAAATTCAAAACACACACACACACACACACACACACACACACACACACACACACACTTGTACATGAGAGTCACAGCAAAACGGGAGTTGCAAGGACAAATGAAATGGGTACCCAAAAAAGCCAAAGTGAACATAGTTAAGAAAGGAGTTTATACGCTTCTATTTTGCTCCTTGTTGATTGCTATAAAGGTAGCTGTTTCATTGTTGGTTTGTCTCAACTGAAGTGCTTTCGTTGTCTGCAATAGGACTAAAGCCGCTTCGATTTTGGATCCATTCATCCGGGTGGAATAGGGGCTTTCGTGGTGAAAACTCGCAACACACACACACACACACACACACACACACACACACACACAACAACAACAAAAAAACAAACAAACAAACTAGAGAGTCAAAACTCAGCGAGGAAGCACATGCTATACATATCATAAACATATCCAGAAAAGACAGAAAACAGGCTTAGGATCGGAATCTTGAGCAAACAAATCAAAGGGTCAGCATTTTCTCAGAAACGTTCAAGTGCTCGGACTGCAACTGTCGTTTTTTTTTCACACGGCTCAAAACAAAAAACGAAGCTCAGAAGGTAACGGCTTCCCAAAGAAAACGGCCGCACTAAAAGAAAGAGAAAAGGTCTGGTGGTATTACCTCCTGTTTTCCTCTTGCGAGGGAAGCTGCAACAGGTCATCTAGTAGTCAATGGATCTGGACGAGCTTGGTGGAATTGTTCATTGTTGTGCTGGTGCTTGGAAGTGGTAAGAAATGGATTTGGGTCTCCAGCTTCTGACTCCTTTTGGACCTTTTGTCCCCTGGGTGCTGTCGTTTTTGATAGAGGAGAAATGCAGATGTGTGGACGAGGCCTGGGGACAACAATAAAGCACCAGTACCAGCAGCAGCAGCAGCAGCAGCAGCGGTAGGAGCGGTAGCAGCTGTGAAGGGGAGCTTGAGGAGAGGAAGCGAAAAGGAGGGTCATGACAAAGCAAAGAGAAGATAGAGGTTTGTGAGGAAAGGACACGAGGAGGATTGGAGCAGGTCAATGCAGCAGAGAGGAGGTTGCGACGAGGGGGGGCATCAACCAATGGTGAAGAGAGTTTGGTTACCATAGTGTGATAGAATCCGCAGAGAGGGTGGGAGGAGAGGAGGAGAAAATAGGGAAGGAGAGATGCAGCAAATGCAGCCACGTGTCATGATGTGTAGGGAGACACTCCTGCGTTCAGTTTGCCGCAGGCTTTATGACAGTGGCACCGGTGTATGCGCGTCATCATCGTCATCCTCAGTGAAAGGAGTGAGATGGAACGGGGTGAAGCGGGTAATGGCAGCCGTGGGTGACAATGGGGAGGTTTGGTCGCGTCTACGGCCAATGACATCATTATGGAATACCAACCATTTGCGTGGCTGTCATCCGAGCAGTGTCCATCCGGTGCAGGCATGGGCCGATGGTGAGGGCAGTGCATGTTGTGGTCTCCGTACCCCGGTGGAGAATTGGCGGCACTCGACCTCTGGGAACGTCGAAAAGCCACTTCCATCGCAGCAGCTCGACCAGCAACGATGCCTTCGCTCGTTGCCAGCGGGCCTGTCGGCATCGGCAGCAGGATCACAAACTGAGCTGATGCATCTGTCTGCTGCACCCTCAGTGCTTGGCCCCCATCGGGAGCATGATTACTCCTCATCCTTGTCCATCTCTTTGTCGAGTAAGGGTGCTGCCGCCCGTAACACATTGCGCCAACTGCCATTTGGGCCTGACGTGGTAAATGGTGCAGCACACAGCTTCTGTATCGTTGTGGACCGCCTGGGCCAGCCACGCATCGTTCAGAAATCGGTCCTTGGCGGCGAGATCTACTGCCGCCCGTTCCGTACGATGGCGGTACCGGAACGAGAGCGGCGTGGGCTGGCGGTTGCATTGCCAGACCAGTTGGGATACCAACGCTCGTATTCAAAGCTTCAGGTGGCTGAACCTCGGCTGGTCCAAGTGAGGGTTTACATGCAGAGCCCTGGAGTAATCGGGGAGCCTTATCGACGTCCAGAATTGCCGCTTCCCTTCTTCCAGAGGTGGCTGACGAAAGAGGGGTGGAGACGAAGACGGAAGCAGTGGATGGACACTCTCAAGACAGCGTACACGGTGGCCAAGTTGAGGAGAGAGAGCAAAGGGTACCGAAAAACCGAGTTTTACAATCATGCGTCGGCGCTGTACAGCGAGGTGAGCAAGGCGATCGCAGATGGCGACCGCACAGCTCTGAGGCAACTTGTGACGGAGGCGGTTTTCACGGAGCTTAAGAAGGAGATAAAGCAGAGAGAGGAGGCTGGTTGGCAGAGGGTCTCTTGGAAGCTTGCCAGCGTTCCAGAGATTCGTACCGCGCAGGCTAGGCTGGTGGGTGTGGACCCGAAGAACACTGACCGGGCGTTTGCGCAGATCACACTGCTCATTCGGAGCAAACAGAAGTTTGGTGCATATGACCGCCATGGAAGACTCGTTGCAGGCGACCCGGATAAACAGATAGATGTCGAAGATTGCTGGGTGTTTGAGCGCCGTGTCGATCGGTCTGATCAAAAGTGGAGGTTGTGTGGTCGCTTGACGTTGTGATTTGTCGGCGCTCTCATTTCAATCTGTCTTGACACCATTGACATACCATTTAGTATTTCACTCATCTGCTTCCAGTGGAGTTTGAACTCCGGTCCGTATTTCAGCAGCTGAGGGGTGTAGCAATTGAGCTAAGCCAGTGGGTGACATACCATTTATAGCATCACATGATTCTGCGGCTTTTGTTATCCCTTACAAGATAGAGGGGAGAGTAGCAAAACCAGCAGCAGCAGCAGCAGAAGCAGGAAGAAGGTAGCTGGGGACACTTAGGAGGCGGGGAGGGAGAGGAGTTGAGGGGTGAGGAACAGAAAATGTGAAAGCAGCGGAGAGGGGAAGAGGAAGAGGAAGACGGAGAGGCAGTAGGGAGGAGGCAGCTGGATGAACGAACAGTCAGCTTGCTGTTTCTTCGTCTGAACTCCTCCCATGGTCCACATGTGTTGGACGCTTTGGGGAATTGGTGCAGAGGGTTATTAGCGGGAGCAGCAGAAGGGTTGGTCAGCTAACAGAGGTGCAGCTGCTCGATATCGCTTTGCCCGACGTGGGCCTTGGTCTCTTTCTTTCTTTCTTTTTGTCGTTCTTTTTTAGAGTAGGGAAAAGTTTGGTCTTTTTCTTTCTTTCTTTCTTTCTTTCTTTCTTTTTTTGAAGAGTCGGGAAAAGTTGCATCCCTCTGTTATGGGGGATACGGATGGTCAGCAGTAGGAGCAGCAGCAGGGTGGGGAGCAGCAGTAACGCGGGACGCTCAGCTAATAACTAGGGAGAGTGTTGCATCTGCCTGACGCTTCTTCGCCCTAGGCCTGATTTTCTTTCTTTCCTTACCTTTCCCTGTTTCTTCTTAATTTTAAAGGGGAAGGAGGCTGATGTGATGTGCAGTTGTGATCAGCCCATGATCAGCAGTGACAGCAAAATCAGCAGGATCATCATCGTCATTATCACAAGTGAGAGGAGGGAGTGCTGACGAAGAGTAGACGGGTATCACCTACTTGCAGTTGATGGTGTTGTCTTTTCTATGTCGGGTGTGAGGAATGATGCTCACATGATCAGCAGGATGATCACCGTCATTGTCATGAGGGAGAGGAGTGAGTGCTGATGAAGAGTAGACGGGTATCAGCTACATGCACTTGATGGTGTTGTCTTTTCTGCAGCGCGTGCGAGGAATGACCCGCGGGATCACAAAGGATCTATCCGGGATGATCAGTTTCCGACTAGTCGAGTGGAACTACTGAGAAAGTTGAAGAGGACCACAGCTGGATGCAGAATTAAAAGAGAGGTGGGGAGGGAGAGGATAAAAGATTGGCGAAATGAGGGGAGGATTACAGAAGAAGAAGAGGAAACGAGTGACAAGGAGCCGGAAAAGGTAGTGGTGAATAACGCAAAGGAGTGAAGGGGCGCAAAAAGATAGGAGACTGGTGAGGAGTCGCTTGAACGCTTGCTCGAAAGGTGTGGCGTGAAGTGGGAAGGATGAAACAGTGGGAGTTCAGCTATCTGGTGCCTGGGTGAAACAGTCCTTGCGGGGCTTGGTGGGACGGACGTAAGAAAATGGTAATCTGGGTGACAGATTTTGGGATTGGATCCTGGGATGCTGGACCCGATTTCCAGGAGATGCTGCTTTGGGACGCTGGACCCGATTCCCAGCAGGTGCTGCGCTGGGACGCTGGACCCGATTTCCAGCAGGTGCTGCTGTGGGATGCTGGACCCGATTTCCAGAAGGTGGTGTGCTGGGACGCTGGTCCGGTTTCCAGCAGATGCTGCGCTGGGACGCTGGACCCGATTTCCAGCAGGTGCTGCTCCCCACCAATAGACCAGCGCGACCATAGCCAGCCCACTACAGAGAGTGGCATACACCACTCCCCCTAGTAAGCCATGGCAGAGTCTTTGAAAAAGAAAAGGATTTTGAATTTGGGTCCTTGGTTTGGACCGGCATCTCGTGGGCCTAGTTCCAAGTTCCAGCCATGCTTTGGGGCTCGCGATGTGCATTTGTGGAGAAGAGCTCCCGAACCCCCGGAACGATCGGTGTTTTCGGGGTGTTCGAGGGCCCCGAAGGATGGGGGTGCGGGGTCCGCCAAACTGGATTTGTGACGATCTATCTGTCTGTCTGTTTGCCTACCTATCATAGCGCCTATGTGGCCAGGAGAGAGAGAGAGAGAGAGAGAGAGAGAGAGAGAGAGAGAGAGAGAGAGAGAGAGAGAGAGAGAGAGAGAAGGGGCAATTTTACGAGGCACTCTAATTGTGAGTGCTAAGGGGCAATGTTACGAGGAACTCTAATTGTGAGTGCTGCTCGGAAGTTGGGATGGATCTGACCTGGCCAGTGGCCAGATTCTTCCTGAAATGGCAGTGGTGCATTACCTCTGCTCTTTCAGATTCTCTCTCTCTCTCTCTTCCTCCCCCTCGAGGGTGTGGTTGGGGTCAAGCACGAAGAGCGGGAGGAGGAAGATGACGAGGTAGAAGACAATAAATAATAGTAGTAGTAGTAGTAGTAGTAGTAGTATTAGAAGAAGAAGATGTAGACAAAGAAGATCAAATAGGAGGGAAGGGAGGAGAAATAGGAGGAGGAGGAGCCTTCCCTGAAATCATGCGCCAACTCAACTGGATGGGCTCTAAGTTGGTTGTGGGCAAGCAGAGAAAATGTTTGCCAGGTGGAGGGCCAGATGACGAAAGCAGTGCCCGGTACCTGCAGTCCACGCCCGGGCCCAGAATGACTGGTCAGGTGGGTAGACCGTAAAAAAAAAAAAAAAAAGAACAAAGGTGGGTTAGAGCGTCCACCCAGTAACAGCACCGATGTCCAATAGAGCAGAAGGTCTAAAATTGTGCGTGGACGGGACGAGCAAATGCAGAGGTTAGAAGGGTTTTGTGACACCCCTGTGTTTTGGGGGTATCTCAGAAAATACCCCAACTTTTAGGGGCATGCTGCATTCGAACAATTTTTCCTTTTTGCGACAGCCTTGAGGTATTGACCGCCCTGAGGAAAATTCGAAGTTGCTTCACTCATATGATTCCACTAGAAATTCTAGAATTCAGTTTCAGCTCTGAAATTTCAACAGTTCGCAGGTGTACCAACTGAGATAGGCCGGTGGCTCACCCAGCAACTTCGGGAGCCAGCCCGTAGAAGCCACAAGGCCTTCTCCTTTGTCTGTTTGTACGCCCCGGTATCCAAAGGCGTACAGAGAAGGTCAGGCCCAAGGTCTACCATAGTGCGAAAAAGGGGGCGCAAAAGGGTGCAGAAGCCAATCGCAGGCAATGGACGGAGTAAAATCACAGACAGAAGCAACCAGTCAGTGTGCACCATCCGATGAAAAAGAACCTTGCAAACGACAGGGGTTTAGTGGGTTATGCTCTATTCACCTAAGGATGGTAGCAAATGTGCGCAATGAGAAACATGCACAGCTACTGTCCTCCTCCTGAACACAACCTCACCGTGATCATCAATATGTGCAAACCACCCTTCCTGTCTGATAC